CCGTTAATCTTGATCACCCGGTCCTAGTATTTGAACAATTTCTCGATAATTTTCATGGAGATGTTTTTTTTTAAGATTGTACTGCTATGTTAATAAGCACACACTTCTACAATTTCTTGTCTTTTATGATAATATCAGCTCTGTTGGCTGTTATTTCCATGTTAATTTGAATTGGCATGTCCCAGAGGATAGTTACATCGTTATTTTGGATAAGTGTATCTGGTTGGTACTCATACCATCTCTCAGTGGTTTTGATTTTGTGCTTCTTGTATATCTTCGAGTGCACATAAATTGCTACCTTGTTATGTCTGTGGGTATATTTCGTTTTTGCTAGTTCCGGACATCCTGAGGTAATATAGTCGACAGTTTCATCATATTTTTCGCGGATCCTGTATTTCGGGTTAGTTCCATCCTTGATCATTTAACAGTGATAGGATCTGGATGCGAGTCTTTAGTCCTGAGCTGCAATAATCTGGCCTTCTGCCTCAGCTTTCAACCTGCTGCTCCTCAGCTACTGATGTGTTTTCTGTTGGTCCACATCTGATTCTTCCGTTCTTTTTAGGTATTTGCCATGCAAAGCTTTGTCCTTGCAGTTTTTTTTCGTAATTTCATTTGGCTAAGTTGTTTTGCTTTCTGTTTCGTTTCGTTCTTTTGTTGGTAGGCTTTTAGCTAGATTAAGTTGTTTCTTGAAGAGTGCAGCTTCTTTGTTGATGAAGTGATTTTGGTGTTTTACTATTTGTAGGAGAGGGTCATTGGTTTTTCTGAGGTATGCTTCCAATTCGATTTTTGTAGTTTTTAGAGTTATTTCAAGTTGGATTAGACCTCGACCTCCTAAATCTCTTGGTATGTACAGCCTATCAACATCTGATTTCGTGTGGTGCACAAGCATTTTTCTGGTCTTGGCGTCCAATCTTTTAATGTCATTCAACATCCATTTAATAATGTTGAAGCTGTATGTCAATTCGGCTATAGCTAAGATGTTGATAGCCTTTATTTTATTGGCCCCATTAAGTTCGCTTTCTAGTATCAAACACACTCTCCTATAATATTCTTTTCGGATCTTTTTCTTCATAATTGAATGTTGTATTCCGTCTCCTTCATTAATTACTAAGTATTTCTATGTACCATCTTGGTCTAGTTCCTTAATCTTCTTGATATCAAGGTATAAATCTGTTGTTTTCGTTAGTTTACGGCTTTATTACATATGTTGATTCTGAACTCCATCCTAATGTCTTCGCTGAAGATTTTGACAATAGTGAGTAGGTTTTTCTGCTGGTTGTCATCTTTGGCAAGCGCTTTAAGATCATGAATATATAATAGGTGATTCAGTTTGCCATTCTGTGACTAGTATCCGTAGCTATTGTTGTTTAGTAGTCAGCTGAGTGGCGCTAATGCACAACCGAAGAGTAGTGGTGACAATGAATCTTCTGAGAAGACCCCACTTTTATTATTATTATTATTATTATTATTATTATTACTTCATAATAATCTTTTGATTTTCTGCGATTTTTCTATTAGTAATCAATTTTTGTAATTGGTAATCATTCTTTGATTTTTGCATTAATTGTCTCTATTAATAGTTGACAAACTTTTTTAATTGAGGAATTGCTCTAATTGAACGTAACATCGTAATGCTGTTGAGAATATTTAATATGTGTTCCCTTTACATTGAAGCTGTTTGGGAAGGTTCAACTACTTATGAATTTTTTAATTCTACGAAAAAAAGTTTTGTATCATTTCTTGTATTTATGCTTGATAACACTGGTCTACAACAAGAAAGCTTAAAAATATTCAATCTTAGCTAATCTTGTGCCACTGCAAATAAAAATTGTTGTCTCGAGATTTCAAGATACGGTAACAGTATTATATAAATATGAATTCTTCTTCCCCTAATAAATTTATTATTTATAATTATTTTCCCAATAAACTAATTATTATTCCTCTTTCTACTCAGATTTTCACATGTTTAACTAACCCGTGAGAAGCCGATAAATTCTGCTGTGCATAGCAAAGTGATTTCTGCAAATATAACGCCTGTTGTGAGTAAAGCCTACCAACTATATGTTAGATGCGAAATTGAAGACCAACATAAGAAGGGGACACTGCGAAAATGTTGTAACACCTGTGTGAGAAATCTCAGTTGATGGCTAATCTGGAAGAAAAAAAAATCTATGCCTTTTGCAGTGCCCGCGATTTGGAGAGAGCCAAATGATCATGACATTGATTTATACTTCTTTAGGGTGTCTCCAATTACTAAGGGCCTGTCAAAGAAATAGACAGTGCAATATCAAAACCTTCCATCAGCCTCGCGTCTTGTTTCCAATAATGAAGATATACCAGTTCCAGAAGCACCGAAATCGTATGAAATTTAGTCAGATGATGGGGAAAACAATGTAATCTCAAAGCTTTAACCATCAACTTCATATGACGACGACTATTGTCCAACATCTCTCTCTCTCTATATATATATATATATCTGAGTCACACCACATGCAATGATATCAATGGTGTTATGCAATCATTTAACATCAGTTACAATACAAAGGAACTGAGACTTTTAATTGATTCCTCAAAGACAGGTCTCAAAGCTGTCTGGTTACACAGCGGTAATGTTTTACCTTCAATCCCGCTGATCATGCAGTCCACATGAAAGAAACTTATGGCTATATGAAACAAGTACTGAGATGTACCAGCTATGATCAACATAACTCGCAACTTTGCGGAGATTTGAAGGTTGTTTCTCTCTTGCTAGTCGAGTCGAGACAGACGCTCTTATTACATCAAGAGAAACTGTCCACTACGACAATCACTGGAACCTAGGAAGAAAAGTGTTCAGTATCTACCACTAGTTGAGTCAAAGAAAACTTTGTTGCCACTTCTTCACACCAAGTTTGGTCTTATGAAAAAATTGCATGAAGGCTATGGACAAAACACAGGCAGCATTCAAGTTCATGCAGAATAAATTTCCCAGGACAAGTAAAGAAACGATAAAGGAAGACATCTTTGTTGGTCCCCATATAGGCAAACATTTTGATTAAAAAATTGACAGAGTATTACGGGGTAAGGAAAAAACGGTATGGAAAGTCAGTTCCAACCAACTTTCTGGGTAATGAAAGAACAGAAAGTTACAGAAAACTGATGGAAGACCTGAATGGATACAAATATCTTGACGCCAACAAACATCTTGATTTTTCCCTAAAACAGTGACGCAGTGTGTGACGAAAACAGTGAACAATTTTATCAATACATTGCAGCAATGGAGAAATGGTATCAGGGCTGGTGAAGTCCATCGATGTTGGTCGATTATTGTTGGGCTCTGGCTAGAGATGATCCTTCTGCAGTTTACAAAAACAAAACAAAACAAAAAACAAAACAAGAAACGGTGTGGTGTTGCTTAACAACTGTGCATGTGTATGTTTCTGAAGAGAGTTTTCCGGTTGTATTTTATTCAATAAACGCATTTCTTACCATCTTGATGTGTTTGTGTAATGCACTAGTAAGCCTACAGAGAACATCAAAGCAGATTTTTCAAGGCCAGATAGTTTTTTCTTAGAAAAATCCATTGTACACATGTGCATGAGATAACTGACTAAATATCTCTAAATCTAGAGACAATCATCTAATTTGAAGGTCATTTTCGAATTCAGCATGCCAGAATGCATAAGAAATAGCACATTCCATTTCTGAAGTAGTCAGCTTGTGAAAGATTGTAGAATAGAGTAATCGTTTAAGATCCAATGTTAATTTATTCTTTAAAAGCACGGAAAATACATTCATTGATGCTGTTGGTAAAAAATGATTCTGTTTTTTTTTAATGATTGGAAGGAACGATAATAGATTTCACAATCTCGTTAGACAACACTTCACAGCGACACAGTTGAAAACGGCATTAAATCTATCGATCTGACTTTAAGGCAAACAATTTTTGCATTTTTTTATATTAATAGTTGATAATACTATCCTTGAGATACGGATTTCGTCTTCTGCTTAGTAACACAAATCGATTTCAGAATTTTTGTCAGACTATTTTATTTTCTATTTTCACGAATGTTTTTGTAAAGGCATTAAGCCCTTTGATCCGACTTTTACACTATTTTTAGTATTTTTAAAAATTATATATAAAAAAGGTACGAATAAACTTTTCATTAATACTATTCTTCAGTTGCGATGCTTTTTTTTTTTAAAAAAAGTTAAGTTTTTTTTTTCTTTTATTGGCGTAATGAAAATCTCCCAACAGTATAATGTATTTAACCACTTATTCTTCCTCTAACCGTCACCGAAGGTGCATGGTATTGAACAATTAAATCCAGTAATCATAATGATTCTCGATTATATCAAAAGTTAATTTGGTACAACTGATCTCCACTAAGGTTTGCAATGTCTTATTTATTAGAGACGTTATCTCCTTGCCTTTGATTCCTCTGCGTAGAAAAGATAAAATGTGATCCGAAACAGTACAATGTCACTGTAGCGGTTTTTCCAAAAGATCCCTTATTTATAAACTGAAACAGGATCTAAATTGCCTAACTTCGGCGATTGAACTAGAACTACTTTTCCAATAAGATTTAATCATAAACAATTGGGATTATTTACAGAAATTAACAATTGCTCTTTTATGAGATAATTTATTGGGACTTATATATTCCATTTTGATTGAATGGGTTAATCCGTTTTTTTTCTTACAGTACAACTCGGTGAGATCTGATTTTCTTGCCATGTAACCCAGTGCAATCTGTCCTATGCTTCTTGGAGGGAAGATGCGCACTATTATCTCCCCCTACTTTGCTCTAAGAAATCTCATGAATGATCCTCTTTATTATCACGACGTTATCATTGATTTATTGAATTCTTATTTGAATTCATTGACATTTATGTGTTTATCATGTAGTATATATATCATGGCCTCATATTTGTACGGATAGTAAGAATGGTTCATAGTCGGCTATTGTTGGAATATAGTCCAAACAAGCACAGTACTGATTACCTGCCTTTACGTTTAGTCCGTTTCGTATGGTTTTCAACGATTGATACCTTAAAGAGCTATAACCGAAGAGTTCTTCTTCTTCTTCTTCTTTCCTTCCTCCTTCTTCTTCCCCCCCTCCTCCTTCTTATTTCCTCCTCCTCCTCCTCCTTCTTCTTCTTCTTCTTCTTCTTCTTCTTCTTCTTCTTCCTTCCTCCTTCTCCTCCTTCTTTTTTGGTGCGTTCTTTTAAACTTTGAAATAGGATGAAACGAGGAAAAAACTCGGCATATCACAAATTTGTTAGTCTTTAAACTTTTGATTTCAACTACTTTTCTAAAGACTATTTTGTATGACTATAAAGAATTTCATCAACATTTTCAACATTTTCAAATACAATTCACCATCTAGAACGACGGCCAGGCGCTGTTTGGTCTACTTCCAAGAACTTCTCTTGACAATCTGATAGAAATTTCAAAGAACCTCAGATAAGAAAGTGTGTTTAATATCCCCTATTATAGAACTCCAAGATGAGAATGCATTACCATATTTCGAAGATTCCCAATGAGGATCGAAATCTCAACATCTTACAAGACTAATTAGCTTACTCTCACTTAATGTCAGGTGCACATATGAATTTTTATTTACTAAAGTTAAATTAGTTTGGCATTAAGCTACAGTGGTTGGTCCCCAGCAGCAAATTCTTCAGTGATCCTGCTGCAATTGTACAATAAGCGCGCGTGCCCCCTATATATATATATATATATATATATATATATATATATATATATATATATAATGATCACTTGTCACTTAATTACGTACATGTAAACATATGCCCTATTTTGCAAATTTCTAATCAGCAATTTCATGGATATAGCCACTTAAACATAACCATAGCGACCTGCTGAATTTCACTTCATGCATTATTACGAGAAAGGAAAGTATTATAAGTGACGTCCAATGTTGTATGGTCATTGTTACTAGACAGAAGGGTCTGAATATTTAAAAAACTGCTGGTCTTTTAGAATTTCCACGCATAATCATCTCCAGATTTTACAGAAAATAGTTAGGAAAAGAAGGAATTTCTAGTGAGCGGTAATTTCGTGGGCCGAAATCTCTTGATGATGAATGAGGTCAGAGTTCAAAATGGTTCAAGCTGATAGAACAACAACAGTAAGTCAGCGAATCATCTGAGAGACCCCTTTTCTGCCTCCCATCAGCATGGCTAGTACTAACCTCCAGGAGAGTGATTTCTCGGGCTAACATTCTCGGCTGACATGAAGTGGAAAGATTATATTGTTCCGGTGTTATTGCTGTATATTTAGTGATTCTTTATAAGATCCAAAAGAGAATCAGCAATATAACAGGCAATGACCTGGCATCTCGGCTTCAGTCACTTTCCCACCTATGAATTTAAGCGCATAACTAGATTGGCGACAATGTATTTTTTTGAAATGGCAACCGTAAGTTTTATTCTAACAGTTTATTTCATTGCATTTCTCGCTTGTGGAACTCTTTTCCGGCTTCTTGCTTCTCAGTCAACTTTGGGCTTCAAAGATTTAAATGCAATGTTAGCCCACTCATCTATTATCTTGAAAGAAGTTCAGTTTTCTTTTTAGAGAAGCTAATGTGTTGATGAACAAGGGCGTTTCAATGATTTATAAAAAAAAAGAATTAAAAAGCTGGGATATTACATGCGCATTATTTAAAGAATTTAAGAGAAAGCAAACTGATCGGTTCGATAAGGTCAAATTAACAGCTGACCTACAGTTAACTGTGGAAAGGGATGGCTTGTTAATTTTAACTCCTCCAAAATTAAACTGCTCTCTATTAATCGTTTGATTCCATTAGTATGGCTGATGCTAACCTCCAAGAGAGGGACGCGTGGAACCTTTTCGGGCTAACGTTTTCAGCTGACAAGAAGTGAAAAAGATTATATTAATCAATTACTAGGAATATTCGTTCTCTGTGAAGTGCAGAGAGTTTGATCGGCACAGTTTCCCCAGACGAGGCTATGACGAAGGGCAGAGTCTATTCTCGGGAAACAGATACCCGACCCCGTTTTATAAGGGGTTGACGGGGAATTTTTTGGCCTACCCTACGGGCTCGGATACCCCACATTAAATTCGGCCTTGTGCCACATCTGATCGCGTGGAGCGTTTGCTTGATATCCTACAGTTGGAGATTCATTGTGGAATTTACTTGACTCACTTCTAGCAGTTGACTATTCTTCTACATGCCGCTGACGAATCTTATATGCGTTGTTCTTGTTCTAAGTATTATCGCTCATTACCAACCTTCGTGTGATTATTCTATTTAGTAACCTTCTCTGGGTTACAGCACACATATGGTCTGGTGGTGTTTATATTTAAAGATCTTTAATAAAATCCGAAGAAGAATCTGCAATGTTATTGGTCCGGACCTCGCATCTCGGCTTCAGTCACTTTCCCACCGACGTAATGTAGCTTCCCTGTGGCTTTACTACAAATACTTTCATGGTAATTGTTCGGTTGCACTCTTCGCTAAGGTACCCTTGTAATACATTTTGCATTTTATATACGATTAAATATCTGTTTTCTATGGTACCTAGACTTTATTTGCAGTACTAGATTAACGAATTCCAGTCGAGTTGGTTAGATTCACTTACACACAAATACCGTTAGAAAAGGAATGAATCTATCGCTTCTCCCCAGCTATGGATTAAATAGCAGGAAATACTGGGTTCTTTAACCTTGGTTGGCAAAGAGTCTGCCGCAGAAAGAAATGGCAACCTACTGCAGGAAAAATCTACTTTGTCCGTCAAGCGTGTATCACGTATGGCAGTTACCTGACTGACTAGATTAACAAGCTCTCACCTGTGTTTGCTCTTTGGTGATCTGCAGCGACATTTTATTCCTATATGGCAGAGTGAAATAATAACAAAAAGAAACTCTTTACAACGAAGGTATACGGAAAGGCATCTCTGAATGCGGAAAACGTCCAGCCTTGAAGAAGATCGACAACAGTAAGAGAAGACCGCACCTTGTACTACTCTTGTCAGATAAACACTAAGAACTGAGTCTAAAATTTGCTAAGGATAACGAAAACTGGACAAGAGAAAATTTTTTAAAATCCTTCCCTGGTCAGATGAATCTCGATTTCGTTTTTCGCATTTGGGTAATTAGGCCAGAATGTAGTGTAAACAATAAGAAGATATGATTCCATTTTACTTTGTATCAACGCTTCAGCCTACTGATAATGTTGGCATAATGCAAAGGGGAATAATTTCTTAGCAGAGATCAAAACCTTTGATGCTAATAAAAGACCGTTAAACTACTGCAGTTTATCTAAATGTCGTGGCCGACTATGGACCTCCATTTGAACACATCCTCTGGTGGCCATTTCCAGAGGTCACAACGAGTCGTGTCACGCATCAAATATAGTGTTAGATTGGTTCATGAAATACAACAACAGGGTTTCTGTATTAAAGCGGCCCCATATTCACTGGACCTCAATCACAGAGTGCACCTTCGTGGCGTGATGGAAAGGGAGATCCGAATCCTGGATCTGCATCCAACCAATCTAGAATATATTGAACTCACGATTCTTTGGGTCAACGCTTTTATCCACTGCTCTCTCCCGCAATAATAATAATAATAATAATAATAATGACACGTTGCTCAATGGATAAAAGCATTGGTTGGATTCATTGACTTGACCCAAAGAGTTGTGAGTTCAATGCCTGGATGAACAAAAAGTTAGAGATTTGAGTTAAAAGGAGATAAATGAGACACCCAGAAGAGGAATGGCACTAGAACAATCTACCCCTAATCACCTGAAGAATGCCGGAGCGTACAACGAACGAAACGTCGTGAACATGACAATAGAGATGAGGACTACTGTCCAAACAAGGTAAATAATTACAATACCTCGTCAGCAATAAAAACAATCTAGAAGAACTGCGGGATAACAACATAACAACAGTATAGACACAAAAGTCAAAAGAATTTTCAGAAGGACGTCAAATCTATGTCAAGAAAAACTGGGCTGTTCTAAAGACAAAAGAGGGTTCAACTCGGTATTACAATACTGTACATAATAAAGTGATTGGTGAGTATATACAAGCTGCGGTTGAAAAACCTTCGATATTTTAAACTGTCACCTCTGTGGTGTTAGTGAACTTAGAGAAGATGCAGTAATGTCTGCATGTAACTAATATATTATCATTTTTTTTTCAGATACATCAATTTGGCATGGTTTGGACTGGTACACACCGTATATTTACTCTTGGAAAGTTTTTTGAAAACTGGTGAATCTATAATTGCAATATAGATATTTTCGTGCTCATTTCATGTTACGTCGGAATGATGCTGTTCCAGATAGAAAATCCATACAGCTATGGTTTGAAAATTTCATGCTCTCATGTTCAGCGCTTGAGATAGCCACCTGGAATACCTCGAAGCGCCAGAACTCCAGAAAATGCCCAGTCTGTGAGACTATGTGTTCTGCAAACTTCTACACGTTCAACCCGTAAATATGCTTCTGTTTTAGGATTTTCTGATTTAGAAAGCCAGCAGGGAGACATCAAAGCGCCCAAACTCCAGAAAATGCCCAGGCTTTGGGATTAACTGTTACACGTTCAGCCCGTAAACATGCTTCTGCTTTAGTATTGTCAGAGGAATGTTACACACCGACCCGAAGTTCCATCCATACAAAATAATGGCTGTTCATGAACTGCAAGAACGCGACTGGGAAAACACATGCTATGCTGTGATGGTATCTTTCAAAATATTCCTTCAAATACCCTTTTCCTCACGAGTAATGAAACTCACTTTTATCCCTCTGGCTGCGTCAATAAGTAGAATTTTCGCTACTGGACGGAAAATAATTCTACACAGCTTCATGAGAGTGACTTTGTGGTGCGTTTTTGTGAAATTTGGTGTATGGGGCTCCTTACTCTTTTGAGGAGGGAGGATCCTCGTGTATAATAACAGAAATGATCGGTATGTGGAGATGATGCGGACCATTCTGCTGAGATTTCGGGGATCCGGAAGTGTAGTTTCAACCGGATGGAACCATCGGACATACAGCGAGAAGATCAATGGAAGCTTTGGGAAAGATGTTTCCAGAGTATTTCATTTCTTACGCGGTGTAATTGAAAAGCCAGCACGCTCGCCAAATGTCGCCACTTGCGATTATTTTCACCTTGTTTAATTAAAAACTGAGGTTTACAAGCATCTATCAGCAAACATTAAAGAATTAAAGGATGGTGTTCGAC